TAGGTGTATTTTGATTTATTATAGTAATGTCTGTAAACGTTGAAAAATAATCTACAACCAGTAAGAAATTTTTTATTTTTAAATTTAAATATGTCTAAACCAACTTTGTTTTATCTTAAATTTGATACAATCTGTGCTTTAAATGCTTCATAAACTATGATAATTGGAATACTTTAAACTTTAGTGACATTGACATTTTTTTGTTTTATTGAATTAGTATTTTTGGTCAAAATATAGAATCTTTAGCTAGACTCAGTAACCTTTTTATGCCAAGGTGTAATGTATTAGTATTACTATCACTACACCTTTAAAAATTATTTGATCAATATTAGTTGGATAATTTTTATATGGAAAACATCTTTTTATAAATCTACAAGAATAATGGTTTATCTAAATAAATCATAAAGGGTTTCTGGATAAGTGCTATTGTATCTGCAGCTCATCAAGACGACAGCATATTGTTGCCGTAGCTACCCTTTTGTGCTGCAAGTTACATCGTATAATTATTACTTTTTTAATCGGTTTTTGGTCCTTTGTTGAAGTTTGGGCAGCTAAATGGTTATTTATTTGACCATCATTTTCTTTTAAAGTGGACAGGAGGTGATCTTGTATATCTCCCCCAAAGTTTTCTTGCTGGAGGTAATCGGTTGCCAGTTTTTCTAACTGTTGGTTTTACTTGGAAGGAACAAGGTCCTTTGCAAAAAATTATTCACAGTGTCCTGCCTTAACCTCTATTGCGACCTTTGGCTGACCATCATTGATTTGATCTCTAGGGGTCCCATGTATTCGTCTCCGATGCTGAAGACAAAGGGATGGTCGTTATTTTTGTTTTATGGTGAAAAGTGCATCATTTCGCCACATGCAAGTTGAGGTTTCGGCCCTTAAGTCGCCTGCGCACAATCTCCCTCTCGTCAAGGTCAACTTGCGCTTCCCCTAAGATCCACAGAGAGGCTTTTGTAAGCTTGGAAAGCTTGTCCATCCTTACAACAGCAAGTTTTGTTTTTTCTCTTGTTTGTAGGGTTGTTATTTTGGTTTTTAACCATTTCAAAGTCAGGACATCGGTGCACGTTACTCTGATGATTTCACCAGAGTGCGTCTAACACTTGAATGAAGGTGGCTTGGTTTTGCTGCCGAACAAAATTGTTTTGTCTAGCTCTCTCATCAATGCCTTTTTGACAAGGATCTTCCTTATGGTAGTTATCTTATTGTAAGGGTTATCCTTGTCTATTATAGCTTCTTTCAGGTGGCTTGTAGCTGCATCCTTGTAGCTATTCCAAGACAGAACTTTATGGTCTCGCCTGGGGTTTCCTTTCCGGAGCGTTTACTTGGAAGAGGTGTCAGTTCGTGTCATTTTTTAGTCCTTAGTTGTATCTCTTGTCGAGGTAGAACCAGCGTCGCTGTCTAAGGACTGAGCAGCTTTTGTCTGATTTGGAGTGAGGGAATTTGCTTGAGATGGCGGTTGCCTGCAGCGTATCTCTCTTCCTTCTCTTTGCTTCAGACCCATAGATTTTCTTACCTCAGAGGGGTCTGTAAGATGGAGGTGAACTATGGTCCATTTTTCTAGTGCAAACCATAAACAACATCCAAAATAAATTTTCCTGTGGAATTGATGGCCTGTCCACCAAAATATTTCTAAATATACCGGATGTAGTAATCAACATTTTAACTTCACTGATTAATGAATCCTTTGAAATTGGTCTCTTTCCTAACTGTCTAAAAACAGCTATAATAATCCCACTTCATAAAGGTGGCGACAAAACCAAAACCTGTAAATATAGACCTATCGCGTTATTGCCTACCTTATCGAAGATAGTAGAACGGCTAATGAAAAACCGTCTTTTGCCTTTTCTTTTCAAGCATAACATCCTCACAGCTCATCAGTATGGCTTTCTACCTAAAAAATGCACTAGCGACGCAATGTTTTCCGTTCTTAATGAAATATACACATCACTTAATGATAAACTTTTCACCGCTTCAGTATTTTGTGACTTCGCAAAGGCCTTCGATTGTGTAAATCATGATATTTTAATTAATAAGTTACAAATTTATGGCATACGGGGTTCTCCTTTACAATGGTTTAAAACTTACCTAGAAAATAGAAATCAACAGGTGCGGGCGAATGGTGAGGATTCTACAAATCTAGCAATAAGCAGTGGAGTACCTCAAGGATCAGTATTAGGTCCAATTTTGTTTTTATTATTCATCAACGACATCACAGACTTAAGAATAAGTGGTAGAATTACTTTATTTGCTGATGACACCAGTGTAACCTGGAATAATTCTAACATGCAGACATTACAATCTATCATAAGTGAAGATCTAGTGACTATTAAGTCCTGGTCTGATTTGAATGGACTTTGTTTCAACACCAGTAAAACTGTAGCATTGTCTTACAGAGGTACTTTACAACCTATAACTTTAAACAATAATCTGATCCAAACGGTGACTTCAATCAAGTTTTTAGGTCTTTATATAGACGATTCTCTAAAATGGTCTGCTCATATAGATACCTTAGCAAAAAAATTATCCTCCGCATGTTTTGCCATTAAATCGGTTTCTAAAGAGCTGACTCCTTCTACTGCATTAATAACCTACTTTTCCTTATTCGAATCTCACCTTCGCTATGGTTTACCTTTCTGGGGTTCTTGTAGCTTATACCTTTTCGAATCTATTTTTAAACTGCAAAAAAGAGCAATCCGCTATGTATTTGGTTTAAGTAGTAGGACACATTGCGAAAATTACTTTAAAAATTTCAAAATTCTAACCCTTCCTGCTCTATTTATTTTCGAATCCGTCTGCTTAGTTCGCAAGCACATTCAAAATTTATCCGAAAGACCAACTCGTAGATATTCTACAAGAAATTTAGAGACTGATGTTTATTTAACAATGCCCACTTCTGACCTATTAAAACATTCCATTACCTACAATGCCAAAAAATTGTATAATAACCTTCCGATGCAATTAAAATCTATAAATACATACGATAAGTTCCGAAGACTGGCTAAAGCTTTTCTTCTAGAAAGACCATATTACACAGTAGCAGAATTTTATAACGTACCTTAGACATTTGAGTTCCACATACAATGGCATTAATTAAATAATTAAATATTAAAGTTTAAATTTAAATTTAAATTTAAAAATTAAATTAGAATAATTATAATGACGGATATTGCATATCCATTGCAATTGTTATTCCTATTTTGTCTGTTTGTTTCTGTTTGTTTTTTCTGCTGTTTAGTTATTTTTATAATATGTTTAGTATTTAAGTTACACGCTTTGTCTATAAAATTTTTGTAAATTTTTTTACGACAATAAAGCATATCTCTCTCTCTCTCTCTCTCTCTCTCTCTCTCTCTCTCTTCTCATTTGGAGGTGAGTGTCTGCGTACAGCCTCCTGTGTTAAAGATAATCTTTGTTGTCCAACTTCCTTTACGGTTAATTTTTGAACTAACATTTCAAGGTTTTTGTATGCCACACAAGGTTATAAATACTTTAAAAAATGTGTGTTGTGGGCATCAGTCTCGATAAGGTGGAAATCACTAACTTAGCGTCTCTCGTATTTACTTAAAGATCAAACTAATTAACTAAATCACTCCTAATAAGCCTAATTCTATGGTATACATATAAATTACCTCTCGTTGTACTGAATTTATTTTATACACAAGAAGTAATTAAATTTAAATTTATCAGCAAATTTAATGAAACATTAATCAAAGAACTTTGCAACTGGATAATTCGAAGGTAATAAAACAAGGAGATAATTATTCATTTTAAAGTTTTGATTCAAATATAAATTTTCATAAGATTCTTACTAGAAAGAGAGAAATTTTTTGTTCAAATTTTTATTACTTCTTTGTCTTAACACCTATTTATATCAAGTTACAATTGAAACATTTACCTATAAAAACTAACAAGCTGTTAAAACCCCTTTACATATCGAATTTTCTATTAAAATTGGCGTAAAACAATATATCTCGACCAACTTTTAATTTACCATGTCTGAAAGCTTGAATGTATGTAGATACTTTAAAGTTTAACATATATCACAGTCAGAAGTTTTTATTGGATTCATTAATTTACACGCCGAAAACGTTATGCGGTGCAAGATAACTGGAACTTTTATCCTTTTATTCTCACATGGCGCAGTCAGATTTTCCCGCAACATCAGTTTCCAGGTAAATCGCATGTCGAATATAAAGAGGTTTATTATTTTCGAAAGTTACATAAATCAGGTACTCGTTATTGTCGCTGAAATTAAAGTTACATTAGGTTAAAAAACTATTTAGTTTCATATGAGAGAGAACGTAATTTATTAAGGGGATATAAACCTAGGTTATTTTTTATACATTTACGTCACACGTAAGTCGTAATGTATGGATAAGGTACGTGGAGCTGATGTGCCTTTTATTTTTATGTAAGGTTCTTTTTTTAATCGGTGTTAGATATGAAAGTTTGACAGATTTTAGGCATTTTAAATAAAATTGTTGCATTGCGGTTTGCCAGTGTAAATGATATATATATATATATATATATATTGTTACTATATACCAGTGTGATAACTTCGATAAAAAAAAACAGAATGATAATACCTCTGATTTATTTGTTAGGTATAGCATAATGACAATTATATTTCGCAGAAAAGTTAGCTTAAGCATAATAATTAATAAATAATTGAATTAAAACAAACCCACTGTTCCAAGCCCTATTGGTGGAATATCAGTGGTCATCAACCACTTAGGGTTTGATGATAAGCCAACCAATAATATACACACTAACGACTTGAAAAGTCTATTTTTCCCAAAAGGCGCAGTATTTACGGATTCCCTAAGTTACCTGTTGCTTTGAGATTCAGTAAAACTCAATTAAAAATTAACTTTCAATATATTAAAAGTAGTAAAGAACACAAGTACAAAAGAATAAAAATTATGTTAAAATACAAACAACCTTGTGTAATGAACAAACTATTAATAAAGTGGTAAAAACTAAAACCAGTCAATTAAGTTATTGTTAATTCCTGCACTCAATTGTAGCTATTGGAATAAAAATAGTCAAAATAATACGATACGTGTTTTGTAGATCATGCACCTGATACACCGTTCAACCTAGTTACGGCAGCTCCATAAATGGCCCACACGCAGCGACACAGTATACCATGTCAGTGAAGCGAAGCACCATCGACTAAATGTCCAACCTCAGACAGGTTTAACTCTAGAACCACCAGGCGTTTTAACGTGGTTACTAAAATGCCTTGAGGTACTCAATACGGCACATAACTAGCCAAGAAGATCCAGAATTCTTGAAAAGCGAAAATCTAATGTGAGAATAAATTTTGACTTGTTTCTTCGACATTTTTTGGTTGCCCCATGCAACTAAAGATTTTACAGGGTGGTAGTGCCAAAAATTAACAATTAAATTTTTATGAAATATTATACAAAGAGTTAAAACAAAGAAATTTGTAGCCAAATGTTGTGAGGTTTCACAACACCCACTAACATTATAAACTAGTAAACATCTCACAGTTTCACCCTTGGTAGTTATGTTTGGGTAAAGTGTATTGCATACATAGATATATAACCAAGACAGATAGGATTATTTACAAAATTTTTGAAGAATGAACGGTGGTGTCCGCGGTAGAAACTCAATGAACATTGAAGCCAAGTTTACGTGCTTTTAACTATAGATATATATAACCAATACAGATTACACAATTTCTGAAGTCAACGCGGATGATCCTCAACAGAAATGCAATATATGGATAAAATTTAAATATTGATGCCAAGTTTGCGATGTTTTAAACTGTAGTAATGTTATTGCGTTTGCTTGAATTACTGTTAGGTCTTTAAATAGTCCAAAAAAAAAAAAAATAACGGAAGTAGAGTAGACCGCAATTGTGGAGAGTCGTATATTGTTTCATTCGTAAAAATTCCTTCGATACAGTACTAGTCCAGGAGCCAGTGAATTTTTTCGTACTTGTTTTCCCGGTCCGTGTATATTTAAATAATCTATTCCCGGTGAACTGTATATTTAAAATGGAACGCCAATCTATTAACAAAAGTAAGCCAGATTGAATTCGCGCATTACGTCACATCGATACAAGTGAGATTGTTTACAAAGTGCCTTTGCAGGCCTATTTTGCCCATTTCATGTATTTGTTTTTAAATCATGTTAAATTACTATTTTTGAAACTCAACAAGGAGAAAATCCAATTAACTCTTCCGTTGTGTATATATATATATAAGATAAATTAACTGAAGTTTTATTAGTAAAGTATTAACACTAAAATTTTAATGTAATTTACAGAAAATAGCTAGGTATGTATTTGTTTTTAAATAATTTGATAATTTATGAAAAAGGGAGTAAAAGTGGAATGAACAGTGGCCAGTAGGTCAGTCAATACAAAGTATCATATATTTCTATTATAACATAACTAAAATACCTACATCTTTTAATCATGAGGACATAAGTTAAAAACCATTTTAATATATGCATTAAAATGAAGTAATAATAACTTAAAGAGACGAGGTCTTAAAGTAATAGCTGGTACAGCATGTTTTTTAAACGTTTCCTCATTGCTGCTAGAATGAAATCACTTACTATGAAATGTGCTCTAAAAACGGCATTTATAGCAGTCAGTGTTCAGTCTTAGGATCTCTTCCTAAAGCCCTCATCCAAGCTGCATACATATTAGAAAATAATTAAAAAAAAAAACATATTATATACCTATATAGTTTTTGGTTCTGGGTGCCCTAAAAGAGGACACTTAGCCGACAATTTGGCTCAGATAGCTAAAACCCAAAAGTCAGACCCCGAACCAGGACGTATTGCTATCCTTTTAAGTAAAAAATAACTACAAATAACTTACCTGAAAAATGAAGGCGTCTAACTTTACAACAAAAAAACCATACACTTTTTCCCATTGTTGCAAGCACCCGATTACGATTAGGTAGATATCAACTAGAAGCATGTACTTAATGGTTATAAAGCTTATTTTAATACAAAAAGAATAAAGCACTAGTCGAAAAGCAGCAATCAAATATAAATAGACTACAATATTAAAATTCAAATTAACAACTTTATAAAAGACAAATACTCTAAAAGCGCAAAAGATCAGAACCAAATAAAATGAATAACCATAATAACCTAAAAATCACACTAAAATTGCAAAAACTATTACTGTAAAATCATGAGATTACATCAATAATGCATATGCGTCGGAGTATCGCAAATGTCAAAAGTACAGTGTTTCTATGAAAATTTAGCTATGTTTTTAGCAGTATTATAGGACCATTTCTACCACGCGCATCCAACGATATTGGCGTTCCACAGTTGACTGTATTTTCCTCACAACTCTAGTATAAATGATTTGACATAACGAAACTAACAATAATTATAATTAATGTAGAGTAATAAGTGATTCGTGAATTCTAAATAAAACAATTATTATATAAAAGTGTAAAAGGAAATGTAATTTATTTCCCTATTTTCTTCTGTAATATCGTCAATTATTATGTTTAATTTCTATAAATAAACCAACTGGTTAGGTGAAACATTGTGATATAAGATTTTATTTATGTGTCCTATGCGTACACTTTAATATACAAAACACCTGGAACATTCTTTAAATAATTGTGGTCGTAGAAATAATTGTGTACATAACTCGTTTGAAAGTGTATTTTATGCACTTGCCAAATATATTATTTATACAGATTAATCAGACTATTTTTTTTTACTTAATTGTACAGTTCATCAAATTTCTAGAGGCTTTCGACGGCTAGACAGAGAAAGCACTACTGACAGGCATCCCGACGGATTTACGCAATGAAAGTACACTCTGCGCATCAAGTATTTCACTATTTCATTCAGACGTAAATGTCAGATGTAAATTTCGCTAAAACATTTCTTTTATTTTCGTTTGTGTTTTTTGCTCATTACCTACAGTTTAATAGAACCTAAGTATGGAGTTTAATAGCAAATTAAGAGGCCGCGTGATTAACAGTCAATCTCGCGAAATAATAGCCAATGTTATAGAGTTTATGAGAAGAGAAGGAAACTTTAATTCACCTTCAATACCATTTAAAAATGTAAATGATCGTGTTGCTGCAGCCACAGGAGTATCTAAAAACACTGTCGTCCGCATTTCTGGAGAGAAAAAAAGAATCGATAACCGTGAGATATCGAAATTTTCATCACCAAGAAAAACCATTAAAAAACCAAAAACAGTTAATGATATAGATGAAGCTGCACAAGAATCAAATTTAATTTTTTTTATTATTAGATAGCTATTTTTGTTTCTGAGTTGTGTTCATTTACAGGCTCAATTTTTTTCCGTTTCTCCTTTTTGATTTTATATGAGGTTTCAAGTTGTTTTTGACTTATTTCGACGTAAATCACAACAACACACTTTTTTAATAAAGCAAACAAGTGTTAAGAGGTATATGTACGTGTAAACTACAATTACAAAAAATTGAAACCCATGAAACCACCAACAAAACTGTAAAGCTAGCTTCCGTACTAGAACATGGTGTCATTCGTCGAGATAATTTATCGTTTTGTTTAATAGATCAAGAAATGTAAATATTCCCGTTAATTTTTATAAAATTATAAGAGAAATAAATTTTTTTCTAAATAGTATAGTTTATTATTTTGTAGAAAAACAAAATTTCGAAAATTTTAGTAATGTTTCAGAAACAACCGTTATTAATAATAGGTACCATTTTCCTTAATAAGGTAGAAATAAAATATAAACTATTTCCACGATTTACAAAGGCCTACAAAAAAATTATAGGTATTTTCCGCTATCCTATAAAATTTATATTTTCTGACTCAATTTCAAAAGGTTGAAGGAATTCCAAAACACCTTTTATGACATAATAATTATTTTCAATTCTACATACTATCTTTAGCTGCTTTTAAAAACGTTCTAAGAAAGTCCAATCAGACCAATTTAATCCCTAAACTATTCCACACTTTTAAAATTTAATTACCTAAAAATATTAAAAACTATTTAAAATAACTTGTTTAGCAGACTGTACAATAGCTATCTTAGTCACACGTAGCGCGTTCTCTGTCTGGGCGTCGAACACCTCTAGAAATTTGATGAACTGTACATCTCTTACTACTAAAACTATTTTTATCAATGGAAAAAAAGGGCCGTGTTCTCGTATGTTTTGACGCATTTTCGGCCTCAGCCCATCGGATCCCCCCTCTAAATATATATGAATTTTGCTTAGAATTGCTAATCCTACAATTCTCTATTCGTGCTTGCTGACTGGGAAAATAAATACCGAAAATCGTCACTGTCTCCTGGACTATACAATAGATGATGATGAGAACTTCACAACAAATACACTTTTATGAATGGCTAGTTGGGGATGTGATTGCATACGTATGCATATCGATGTTTGTAATGTATATATCCTGATTCACATATATGATTTTTATCCCGAAAATCCCCTCAGGAAAAGCTAAATTACCGCGGGGTGTCCAAATGTAAAAAATACTAATGAGATTTATGTACTTGTGATTTTCTACCGATAATAGTTTGTAGTTGTGAGCCAATTTTTTTGTACCAATTAATAAAAGAGATTTAAGATTCTTATCGGCAACTTAGATCATTGTATAAAGAACTATAATAGTCCAGTAACTGAAGAGACCAACCTGTCATTAAGTCGGTCCAGATTTCCCTTGTGGCTCAATTCTTAGGTCTCGGCGGTCGCTTCCAAGGTCGAAAACTTTTACCAATTCTGCTGCGTCGGAAAGGGTCCAAAATGGACCCTAAAACTGGCTTCCCGTCAATATCTTCCACAATATGCAAATTAGAGAATTTTTGTTTAGATAAAAATAAAAGATCTTATCATTATCTACAAAAATAGTCCCCATCATTTTTGTCGGGAATTCAACAGGTTTCGAGATAACCGCAATCAAAAGTCCCTCGTTCAGTCCCTGCTTTATCTCTATAGCAATTCTGATTAACTTGTAAACGGGTGGACAAATTGTTTCAAAACTCGGTCAAAAATTGATATTTTTCGATGATTCAAAGTTCATTATAATGGGAAAACCCATAGGTATCGATCCATGTGCCTTGAAGTCCGTTATTTTCTGTCAAGAACATTGAAAAAGGCGTTTTCCTACTATTTTAGACCACTTTATAGTAATTCATTAATATTTTTTTTCTTTTAATAGTTTTTTTATCCCATTTTTGTTTTAAATGGGATCTTGAGATGTCTCGAATGATCTCAGAATTTTATTCTAGTATCTTCCTGGCGTTTTAAAACAAAATTGATTTGTTTATTTGCATTTTTCATACGATTTTGGAG